AGGTTCCTGGTGCCACAGGGCTGGCACTGACCACGTTATACAAACCAACCAACCAATGTGGCCCCTCCCTCTAGTGCTCAGGTGTAAACGGTCAAAATTTCATTTAAAAAACATAAAGAGAGTATAGATATTCGGCAGATTTTCATCATCTTCGGATGAAAAAAGGCCATTTACATAGAATACTAAGTCCCTTTATAAAGAATACTTTCATAGCAAAGGCAACGAATGTGGTCTAGAGAGAAAGTCAAAGGAAGATGTCAGTAATTTCAAATTTATCAATAAAACAAAAAATTCTCAAGAGGACTGACGGCAAGTTTATGACAAGAAGCAATCCTACCAGCAATCTGATAACAGAGCCAGACATCAGGGTACTTATTAAAATATATGAATATGTACAAAGGAAAATTCTTCAACTATTATTAATGTTCAGATACCAAACACACACAACGTATTTTGCTAAAAAAAAAGACTCTGTAAGTCTTTAACTTTTAGGAAGAGCTTTGATTTTGAAAATAATAAAAGGCTAATTTACCTATAAATTTAATTTGCATTAATCAATACATATTTCAAATATAATTATGTACATAGGTATGTAATATATGTATATAAGCATATAATGTAATTTTTTATTGGTTTTTGGGCCACACCTGGTGATGTTCAGGGTTCCTCCCGGCTCTGCACTCAGGAATCATTCCTGGTGATGCCAAGGACAGACACTATATGGAATGCTGGAAGTGAGCCCAGTCAGCTGTGTGCAAGGCAAGTACCCTACCTGCTGGAGTATCTCTCCAGTCCCCTAGTTTTCTATTTGGAGTTTCAGGGTCACTCCCGACAGTGTTCAGGGTTTAGGAATCTCTCCTACTGAGGGGCAGGGAACGCACCTGGCTTGGACATGCAAGGGTGTCTGGACTACCTCTCAGGCCCCAATTTTATTAACTTTAAAGTAAATTTTACTGGTCAAATATATGACTGTTTAGATAATACCGCTTTACATGGCTGCCCAGTCCATATACAATGTACATAATTATCCTGGGCTTATTTATACATCCAATTTTTGTATAAAATGTATATTGCCAAGCACTCCTTTTACTTTGAGAAGCCTTTACTTTAACTGAAAACTGTTATTTAGAGATGAACACGGTGGATCCAGGTCATTTGCCTTCACCGTAGAATTATAACCTGTTATAACAATAAACGTCGCTTTTGGATCCCTCCACCTATCTGAAGACAGCTGTGTTATTTCTGTTCTTTCACATGCCCCAGGCACTCTGCTGTCATCTACATCAGCGTCTCCCTGTGCTGCTCAGCTGCAAAATAAACATCTCTCGACTTTCACTCGTTACTGGGAAGCTGTGAATCATTCGCCAAGGTGGCTGAACCAACTGAAATTCCCACTCTCAAGCATAAAAGCCTTTACTTGTCGAGGTATCTGTCAAGCAACACTTGGCGTCCCGTGAGACTTTTAAAACAGGTAAAACTGTAATGCACTGTAGCACTGTCCTCCCGTTGTTCATCGATTTACTCCAGCGGGCCCAGTAACGTCTCCACTGTGAGACTTGTTGTTACTGTGTCTGGCATATCGAATACGTCACAGGGAGCTTGCCCGGCTTTTGCCGTGCGGGCGAGATACTCTCAGTAGCTTGCCGGGCTCTCCGAGAGGGGCGGAGGAATTGAACCCGGCTCAGCTGGGCCGGCCACGTACAAGGCAAACGCCCTACCTGCTGTGCTATCGTTTCAAACTGTAATGACACATTATTATTTTAGGACTCATGTTTCTCTCACCAATAGGCATATTTTCATGTTCAGTGACCATTGTTTTCTTCTGATTTCTCTGTCTCTGTCTCTCCTTCCCCCTTCTCTTTCTGTGAGTGAGTGTGTGTGTGTGTGTGTGTGTGTGTGTGTGTGTGTGTGTGTGTGTAGGAGGTAAGGCATACACTCAACCACAGAGCCTTACCCTGGAACCTAAGTATAATTTTCCCTACTGTTTCGGTTTTACCTGCTTTTGTGCCCATTAACCTAATAAACATTATTTTTATGTAATTTTCTCTCAGAATGGGCTGGAGCGACAGCACAGTGGTAGGGTGTTTGCCTTACAAGCGGCCAACATGGCCGACCCGAGTTCGATTCCTCCGCCCCTCTCGGAGAGCCCGGCAAGCTACCGAGAGTATTCGATATGCCAGACACAGTAACAACAAAGTCTCCAATGGAGACGTTACTGGGCCCGCTCGAGCAAATCGACGGTCAACGGGAGGGCCTTTACCTTTACCTTTACCTTTCTCTCAGAATGATCCTCATTCACACTTTTATTGGCTGAGCATCACCTATTATGTAAATATATATATATATATAAACAAAATATATATTATTTCTTGATTTGGGGTTCTAACTCACTTTTCCCCATTATAAATACATGAGTAGTTTTTTTTTTTTCAGATTGAGTATAAATAATTCCAGTCCGTGCCTAGAAATGCCCTTATTTTCCTCTCATGGGAGGGAAACTTGTGTTTGGCAAAGAATTCTAAGTTATAGAATCAGACCCCAGCACTGAGGTTGGGAGCAAGGGTAGTTGAAAGGGCACACTGGGCAGTGTACAGGAATACGGGCAGGAAGTGGTGGGTGGGGTATGGCAACACAGTATCCCTAAAATATATGCGCATTTGGGGCTGGAGCAATAGCACAGCGGGTAGGGCATTTGCCTTGCACACGGCCGACCCAGGTTCGATTCCCAGCATCCCTACCATATGGACTCTGAGCACCGCCAGGAGTTATTCCTGAGTGCGGAGCCAGGAGTAACCCCTGTGCATCACTGGGTGTGACCCAAAAGGCAAAATAAATAAATAAATAAATAAAATAAAATATATGCGCATTTATATTTTTGGAAAGCAATACTGATACCGCAGTACACAAATAAATGAATGAAAAGCCAGGGAGAGAGAGAGAGAGACCCAAGGAGGGCTCGCAAACCTTACACATGCGAAGCTCTGAGACTAGGGAGCCTCCCTGAGCACATTTAAAAGTACTTTTGAATTGATTTCCTTTGGGCGCCCTTCCTCCCAGCCCCATGCTCAGGGCAGGGCCGTGGTGCCAGAGCTTGAACCAGATTTGGCTGCTTGCATGGCAAGCGCCTTTACCCCTCTACTATCTCTTTGGCTTAAAATAATTTTTTTTTTAAGAATTCTAAGTTACCAGATGTTTCCCTCAGCCATTTTTCTCCTATTTATCCTATTGGAGTCCTTCAAATTATTTTCCATTCCAGATAATTAATTTCTTCATTTTATTTTAAAATGCTTAATTTTATTCTTTTGCTTGTTTTTTTTGTGGGGGGGGGGGGTCACACCCGGCGATGCACAGGGGTTCCTCCTGGCTTTGCACTCAGGAGTTACTCCTGGCAGTGCTCAGGGGACCATATGGGATGCTGGGAATCAAACCCGGGTCGGCCACGTGCAAAGCAAACGCCCTACCCGCTGTGGTATCTCTCCAGCCCCTAAAATGCTTGATTTTAAAATAATTTAAAAATAATTATAATTTTAAAATAATTAATCTTTATTTGTCCCTGTTTCTCCTTTTATGGGTTGAGTCTGTTTCTATTTATTTATTTATTTTTTAAATCTTCATCAGGGCAAATTGCGTTCATGGATCTTGATTAGGGCCGTGTCCCCAAAGGCTGGAGAATTTATTTCTAGTGGACAAGTCTTAAACATTCTTTAAAAAGCTGTCTTTCACTCTTCTCACTTCCTCAGAATTAAATCTTCAACTATTTTCCTCCATATCTTTCCAAACCCTAGTCTCTTAAAAAACAGTATTTGACATTGCAGGCGCTTTCCTCGTGTCTGCCAACTTTCTCTGGCATCACCTGCCTTGTTGCTTCAAACCATCAGCTGCAGTCTTTGAAATCCCAATAACTAAAAGTAACATAAACTCCACGGCTCCTTTTCCTGTGCATGTTTCCAATTTCACATTTCCGATTCTAAGCCTGCACAGTGCATTGTTTGAATTGTCATTTTACTTCATCAACGTGAGGGGCAGGGGCCACTTTGGGGTGCAGACCCCTTTCATTTGCAGTAGAACATTTCTGTGTCCGCTCTGCTGAGTTGGTCCGTGAGCTGCTCCAGTAGCCTCAGTCCACACCCCCTGCCTGGGCATTTGTGCCCACGTACATTTTGCTAGAAACATCGGGGAGTATATCTGGATCCAACGTTTACTATGTACGGCTTCTCCTGAAGCACGCGGGTTTCGCAGAGGTTCTGTTCTTCCTCATTTGATACATTTCCCCGTTTCTCGCCTGCTCCGCTCACCTCCCAGGTGCCCACGCCTGGAGCTCATCCCTCCCCTGCACACCACCTGGGTCGCTGGAACAACCATCCAGGTTCCTCCTACTATTCTGATCCCACTTAGAGACAAATTTACTATCCGCCTGTTGCTGGAAAGTTGTTGGCAGTCACACCTAGAAGTTCTGACAGCATATCACGAGAGAGGAGGATGCAGGCAGGAGGCATTTATGGGCTTGTTGGGAGACCCCCCCAGGGTGGGCACCGTGCCCGCCCAGGCCAACACTGACGCACGGGGGGAGATAAAGAGCCTCTACATTGTGGGGCCGCTGCTATGCTTCTGTGATTTCTGTCACACACACACACAGGCAGAAATATCCACGCTTAGGGCCACACAACAAAGCACTAAGGAAACACAAGGACCCCGCGAGGCCCATCCATGACTGGTGGCGAGGGCCCTTTCTGAGCAGGGACAAGCAGGACAGGAAGAATCCTCTAGAACAAAGGCCGTTACTAACACCGTGATATGAGATCTGGGGCCTGCTTTGTTTTACTTATTTATTTTTTTAAAATCTACTTAAGTGTATTTGCTTCAAAGGTCCCAGCCAGGTATATCTCATAGTGACTCCCACGGACCAGGAGCTAACTCCATCCCCGACGTGGTCCTTCTTGGAGGACTCCCCAGAGCGCTGCCATGGCCGTGCCCCGTAGCACAGCGGTTACCATGGTTACCTGGCCTTCCCCGGGGCAGGATGTCCGGCTTGCTGTCGTCCTTCAGGATGATGGCCAGCCCCACGGAGTCCGCCGGCAGGACAGTGCCGCTGAGGTCCACGCGGGTCAAGCTCTCCGGCTCCCTGGCCAAGCGGCCGAGAGCCTTGCGTGGGCCGAGGCCTGCCAGGGGGTCCCTTCCATCTCCTCGCCCCTGGGGTCTCAGCACGATGTGGACGATGCTCTGCTGCTCCAGATCGCAGCTCTGTGGGAGGACAAGAGAGGACAGTGTCAGAGAAGCCACTCGGAGCATGCTGGACACATTGGCCCCGAGGGGGTGGGGGTACTGCCTCTGGTGGCCGCCTGGATGGATCTCAGGGTGCCGTAGGAGAGAAGCGAGAGCAGAAGTGAAACAGTCACCGGGTGGTGACAAGTGGCCAAGGCTAACCAACGCAGAAAGCCAACCAATCACAGGCAATCTAAGTGGGCTCTTAGATTCTGGACGATTCAAGGGTGGGCGGGGGCTCAGGGGGAGGGAGCCCAGCCAGGAAGGTACCAGAAGTCAGTGGGGAGGGGACCCTGAGGCTGCTATGTAATCGGAGGCGTGAGGCCCTACTCCTGCAGTCTAGGATGCTTTGTCAGCCAACGGGACATCAAAGACACATAAAATTGAACTGGGCCCCAACTTGAGAGTTTTCCCAGGAGGAAGGCCAACTCCTGCATAGCCCCGGAAGGAGGAAAGCAGGAACTGACCAGCCTGGTAACTGACCCCTGCCACTGGACAGCTCGACGTGCCACCCTGACCAAGCCCAGTGCTGATGTCTGACCACTGCTCCAGCATCTGGACGGCCTTGATCTGAAGGTTTCCACCTCGCGACGTGAGAGCCAAGCGCACTCAGGTGCGAGTTTAACAATACGCCAACTACACAAGACAGCCCCAGCAGGAAACGGCTCTGACCCTGCCCTGCGCTCTTTGAGAAGGATCCAGAACAGGGTGTGCTGGACATGCACTGCCCAGGCACCAGAGAGAGTACAGAGGTTAAGGCATGTGTCTTGCATGTGCTGGATCAGGCTTCGATCCCTGGTCCTGCACATGGTTCCTGGAGCACTGCCCGCATGAGCCCTGAGCACAGACCCAGGAGTAAGTCATGAGTGCCCATGCCCACGGGTGTGGCCCCAAAACAAAGAGCAAAGGGAAAGAATGAAAGTTTCCATCCACATTCACGACTCACTTGCTGATCTGCCCAGAGAAAAAGTATTTTTCTAATTTACTTTATTGTTATTGTTATTATTAATATTCTTTGGCTTTGGGGCTACACCCAGCAGTACTGAGGGCTTATTCCTGGCTCTACACTCGGGGGTCACTCCTGGCATGCTCAGAGGACCACATGGTGGTGCCAGGGACCCACCAGCTCGCTTTGTGTCTCTGGGGCCCCAGAAAACATCTCACTTTTGCTAGGCGCACCTGAGTCCCCAGCCCCGAAACCATGCACACTCAAGTTCAAAGTCATTTCTTAGCTGCATGAGTTTTGGCAGATTGCTTTTCCCCCTCTAGGCCTGAGTTTCTACGTTGGTCACTGGCCAGAATGTTACCCACTTTGAAGCCTGCTCAGCAGAATGAAGGGGTGAGAGAGTGTGGCGTTGGGCCGCAGGGGAGGGCTCCGCACAGACGCTTGACGCGTCTGGCAAAGGACCAGGACGAGCCGTGGGCCCAGCACATGCATCAGGCCTCCGGGCGTTCTGAGTGCTGGCTGCCCTCTCGGATGATCCCATTTGGAAAATGTTCAAAGAAGGTTCCAGAAGCAGATGCTCTGGATGGGACAATTATTCTGGTACGTTTCCAGCTTTCTGGGAACTGAAAATCGATACAAAAATATCCCTATCTCTTGGATGCCGTGGAACACATGAAGAATCTGAGCAAATTCTCGGGGGCTGCTCAAACTTGACAGCTATGGACGGAATCCAAAAAGCCGAGACGTTGTGGTCCACGCCAGAGCTGTGCAATTCTCAGAGTGGAGCCGTAAAGGGGAACAGGCAGACCCCGAGCAGATTTCAGTCATTATCGTGATATTTATAGACCATATTTCCCTCAATCTCCATCTCTGCCTCTGAGGCCATTAACTGCTTAATTCTTTGATGCTTGCGGAAAGTGAGCTGATCTGGGGCGCTGTCCCTTCGCCAGATGGTGAAGAGCACCCAGGCTGGCTCGGCTCAACTCTGTACTAACCACACAGCCCGCGGATGTAAGCTGGAGCAGCTTCCGATTTCTCGAGACTCTAAAACCCAACATGCTACTCAGTGCTCATCAAGCAAATTGTGTCTCTGCTCTGTGGGGCGCTTCGGAGGGAAGGGGGCAGAGTTCTCTAATCCATTCTAAGTTTCCTCCGGCAGAAACTATGTCCTGTGTACACGGTTTACTCAATGACAAGCATACTACCTGGCAAGAGGAAAATGGTATGAGTACATCTGCATCTTTGTGACGACTCAGTAATTCAATAAATGACTTGGGCTGCTTTGGTGTGGATATGATACACAGGGGCTTTGGTCTTGCTGGTAAGGGGGACTTCATATACACGAGGATGTGGGGTACATGGGCAACTCTGTCTCGAATCCTTGATTTGGAGCTACTCTCTATTTCTAAAATATCTACAGGAGCCATTTGCCAACCAATGATCAACTCTCTGGCCATCTTTCAGCCATGTGCAAGAAATTGACATATTTCCTTTTATAAAAATGAGTTCCTTGAATGACATATGTGTGGTTATGATTCGAAGATTTCAGACTGGAAATTCAGTGAGAGTACAAGAAATAAGAAACACTTGAAAACCCAACAAGGCTTTTCAAAACATTCGTAACCTTTGAACGCTTGTAAGCAATTTATGTTATTTTAAAAAGAATAATTACTGGAGATTAAAATGTTATGACAATGCTTTCCCAATACTTAAGAAATGTTAGAGCATCATTAATAATCAGATTCAAAAATAGTTAAGAATGCCACATTAGCAAAGAGCTTCTGGTGATTTCCATAAGAATGATTGCATTGATAGAGAAAGTACAGATGCTATGCTTGACCCCACTATTCTTCAGCTGGAGAAGGTTGTTTAATATTCCCACAGTCCTCTGAAGAGGGCAGGCGGTCATCCCTAGTGATATCATGTGCTAAGCCAGGAGAAATCTGGCACCAACAAAGCTCTTCAAACATGACAGTAGCACTGCTTTTTAGTTCTCCATCACGGGCCACTGAAGTAAGCCAAGGTAGTTCACTAGGGGTTTGCTGACCCCTGCTCCTAAGAGGAAAACCAGGGCAGGAGCCCAGATGCAGTTCCTAACAAATGCGCCGCGGCCAGAAGACTGAGTCAAGGTTGGGACCTGGGTGGCAGACAGAAGTCATGTCTCTTGAAGTTACGGTGGTACCTCAGAAACCAAGAAATGATGGAAACAGAGCTCCCCAGGACCCGGCAATTCCATTTCTTGTCATCTACTAGCAAGACATAGAAACGCTAATTTGACAAGATACAGACACACCCACATTCATTACAACTCTTAGCACAAGAGCCTGGGCAGGGAAACAACCAAAATGTCCAAATACAGGTGCACAGAGTGAGAAGTTGTGGCATTATATACACAGGGAAGGAAGCCACACAGCTGGAGGAAAAAATAAAATCGTGCTGTTCACTGCAATGTGGATGGAAGAGGACAGCATTCAGTTCAGTGAAAGAGTCAAATGGAGAAGGACACATACAGATGATCTCACTCACCTGTGGGACACAGAGAATGAAAATAAGGGGAGAGACAGTTCCGCACTGACCTACACAACCAATCACTACACAGTGCGGGCAGTGGAAGGGAGGGAAAACATGACTGGAAAAGAGGAAGGGACAGAGATGGAGGGATGGGGACACAGTGGTGCTGATGCAGTGAAATAGTTTAGTATGACAGCACTGTAAATTTTAATGCCATGGTAACTTCCCAAGCCATAAATATTAGAATAAATGAGTAGGAGAAGAGGCGGGCACAGCAGGTGCTCAATACAAGGGAGGTGACTGAGGCGGGGCTAGAGCAAGTCAAGTTTAGTGCAGTTCATGGTAACAGTGACCAAGAGGAGAGTAAGAATCTGGGCTGGTTCCAGATGACTGGGTCAAGGCTTGCAAAGCACCAACTCGACACGGGCCCAGTGCCCTGAAAACAGAATTCTTATCCCAGGGCACTGCACTTACTGTGTTCTCCTGTCTTCTACCTCCAAGAAAAGACACTGCACGTGTCTTTGGCACTGCACTGACAGTCTGGACAGTGGCAAGTGGCTGCTAAGACAGGCTCTGCCTGGGCATGTGGGATGCTGTGCTCCCTTTACCAATACCTCCCTATGGCTGGACCCAGACTCGGGAAGGGACAGTGGAGGGTCAGCTTGTAGCCTGCGGCCACTGAGCATTAGGCTGACACTCATCCCATGGTCCACGGGCAACTCCTCAACTCTCGAGTTGATTTCACCACCTAAGGACTATGGAGCGGACCTCTACTAGGCCAGTCGTTTCTCCAGGCTGACCCAGCGACCACTCGGCTTGTGCTGGCCCCACCTCTGTGTCTCCTACATGGACGGGACACACGTCAGCATCTGCTGTCTCACTCCTTCATCTTGAGCTCCCAAGCCTGTCAGCTCTCTCCTACTCAGGCATCGACGCTGCTTCAGGGGAAGACAGTGATCTCAGAGGAGGCACCGAGCTTAGCACTGAACACTTGGCTATCCCCACTCCAGTTATAGGTTTTGTGTTTTGACTTTTTTTTTGGCTTTTTGGACCATACATGGCGATGCACAGGGGTTACTCCTGGCTCTGTATTCAGACTCCTGGCTCTGTATCCTGGCTCTGTACTCCTGGTGGTGTGCAGGGGACCCTATGAGATGTCAGGGATCAAACCCAAGTCAGTCACTTGCAGGGCATATGCCCTACCTGCCGTAATATTGCTCCCCCGACAAGTTAGAAGTTGTTTTTTTTTCAATTTTTATTAGTGAAACACCATGAGGTACAGTTGTAGACTTACAAAGTTTTGTGCTTGGGTTTCAGTTATACAATGATCAAGTACAAAGTTAGAAGTTTTAATAGCAATTAATTTCCCGCCACAAAAGCCAAGGACGAACAGATGAAGGATTTCCTGATTGATCTGTGATATGATCAGAGCTGAATTTTAAAATCAGAATGAAATTTGAATAAAAAAAATTAAAGTGCATTTTTAGGAGTGCATTGATTACTCTAAAGCAGAACATTTTTT